TGTTTGTGGTTGTAATGTGACAAAATATGGAAAAGTTCAAGGGGTATGAATACTTTTGCAAACCACTGTATTTGACACATAGTACAATCCAGCATGTCTCATTTGCATATTTGTACTCATTTACATATGTCCAAACTGTACACTTGTCTAAAACACTCAAATTTCAACACATGGACATCACTCTGGGCTCAAAGATATAACCCCCACAAAACACATTCTACCATCCATATTTACTCACAGCATGATTAAATTAAAAAAATATATATTAATATTCACACCAACACTGTACTTTCAGCCAAATTTTCACCAATAACCAGCCAGACTGCAAGAATAAACAATATATCCTTATATCTTTCACAGCATTAACATTGYACACAGCTTATAAAACCACCAGCAGCGAAAAAATATTTGTTTTTCACTCAYRTTTGATGCATATTTGTCCTCAAATATGTCCAAATTAGCGAATCAAAATGGTGACCGGAAGTCTTTTTATCCAAATAATTTTGCTTCTCCTGGCCACAAAAATCCCTCTTCCATGTCTTGAAGCACTCAAAAAAACTTAATAACAAATAAATTTTCATCTTAGCATGTTTCGTCAGCTAACTGGCCAAAAAACGATGGAAAACAATGTTTTCCTGTGAGCGTTAGCTGCCTTCTTTAGCATAGTAACACTGCTGAAACATGGCCGCCTCCAGTGTGGTACTGAACTGAACTTGTGTGTTATCGAACAGTGTGTTATCATCTTCCATCACTAACAAAGTTCCCACCCCCTCTTTATATACATTAAATCAGGGGTTCTTAACCTTTTTGACCTCGGGGCCCAATTTGTTGAACATAAAGAGACACGAGGCCCAGAGAGACATTACTAATATATGGNAGGGTTAATATCTGCTGTTCATCATGTGAACTGACGGTCCGTTTGAGCTGGAGCTCACCAGACAGATGAACAGATTACAGATCGGATATTTAGTTGTGTTCAACTTCTGTTCTGAAACAGAGATTATTTTTAGAATTTCAGTAAGGGGAAGAAAAAGCCCTGTAAAGTTTTTTTATTTACTATTTTTTAACACTTCTGTTGCGAACAACAAAGTTTTTAAGTTACCCAGAATTTTTGATCAAATCAGGTCAAACACTGCTTTTAACTCTTAACTGCTCCAACATAAAAAATATACAGACCTCTCAAACTTCAAATTGGTTCACTAAATACCAGTTATCTATTTATATCCAGAAGATAAAATTGAACTGAAATTTATTGATAATGATATTTAATAATAATACTCAGAGTTTAGCAGCAGTCTGATCTTCAGGAGTTTATCTTCAATATTGGACACCTTAAAGCTCCTCTTCACACTCTGAACCCACAGACTTAAACTGCAGCACAGTCAAACTTTTATTTAATTAGCAATTTAAACAAAAAGTACTTTCAATTCCCGGGTTTTCTACCACAGAGCAGTGGTAGAAAACCCTGGAATTRATGGGGGCTGGACTTTCTATTAGCCTTGACTGTAAACTGATAAACACTCCTGCTGTTTCAAGCAGAATGTTATGTTTTATAAACCGTCTCGTCCTGTGTTTGTTTCAGATCCTCCCTGATGTCAGACACACCATTCGACCCACCCCCAAACAAGGCAAATCTGAGGGGTCCTAYGCAGACTGTAAGAGACATACTTGTGTTTTATCATCTGTCTGTCAGTCAGCTTGGCTTTAGATCCAATAAGTTGAGGGTCAGTCCACTAATCCTGCAGACTTGTCTAACACTTTTCCAGACCCACAGTTTTATCAGTGGCTATACTTTAACCTCTTAATAGACGAAAGGAAGGTAGATGTAGCAGAGCGCTTTGTGGAATTGTAGAGCAGGCCTCTAAAGTGCAACTGATTTGGTTGCACAACACATTTTTTCACAGGTCATATTGAAGCACCCAATGCTTCTTGTTATTCTCCTCCTTTTTTTGACAMTCAGTGAAGTACTCCTTCCCTGCCTCTGAAGAGCAGAGACAATCAAAGACAGTAGCTGTGTTTCCATTGACCATGAATATGCGCAAATTTGAATTTCAAAAATAAATTTGCTCAATGGAAACATGTCAATTTAGAAAAAAACTTCATTTTTTCGACAAAATGTTTTTGCGCTAGGGTGAGGTGGTTTTTCAACCTAATCGAAATTGGTGTGTTTTGCAAAACTGCAATGGAATCACTTTTTGCATCACGGGAGTCATGTGATCAAGAACCGGCTGTAACCGGCAAGTAACCCCTGCGACCATGAAAGGAAGCGGCGTGTAAAAGATAATGCAAGGATGGACTGCTTTAGAATAGCAGTATTTACCTTCAGCTTTATTTCTGTTGGAATCATTTTCATGCAGTCCTTCTGTTTGGAAAATGACAAAATAATGTGACAGTTAAAATGTAATAATAATTTCTGCACTGAGTTGTTAAAAAATCTGRGTGCACCTGTAGGAGACGATGAAACACCAGTGCAACAAGTTYATCTAGTTATTTTAAGTATGCAGTAACATAGCTGCATGCTGTTTCTAGAAAATAGTCTGTATAGTTGTACAGACTTAATGTTCCAGTACCCTTCAGGRAAGTTGTGTTGAAGTTGAACATTGTGTATCTGATATGCCTGTAGGCTGTGGTCGGTACTCATGACGTAGCAACGCTGACATGAGTCTCATGTATTTATTTATAGGGACACATTTTTTCAACCTGTTTTGTGTTTGTTTGTTCTGTGATCTTTTGTACCAGAGGTRCATCCTGTTGGGTTGTTATCTTCTAAATATTGTGACCTTCCCTTTTGGGTGAAGCAAACAGTGGAAGAGAACAAGAGAAGCCAATTTCAAGTCTTAGCTTGACTGAAGAACACAGGGGGGATGRGTTAGGGTTAAGTGTGTTTGTGTGTATATGTGTCTCTACACCTGATTCAGTGATAGAATTACGTCTTCAAGTTCTACAGAAGCTTGGTAATCACCCATTTATTCAAGTTWGATGTGTTGAAGCAGAGAAACAAGTAAAATATACAGGATATTTTCATTTAAAGSACATGGTTCTAGAGCAGTGTTGTCCAATCCTGATCCCAGAGGGTCTCTAATCCTCTCAGCTACTGCCACACCAACAGATCGACAGAGTTTACTCTACATAGTTAAAAATTAAAATGTAAAACTTGGAACTTGTGTAATCTGTTAACAGTCAGAACAGGTGCTTGGGATACAGTTGATCATAACATTCTGATTGCACGTTTAGAGCACCAAGTAGGTATCTGTGGTACCKCACTGAACTGATTTAGATCATATTTGACTGACAGAACCATGTGTGTCAACATGGCTGGTTYTGATTCCTCCTCTGCTCCTCTGTCTTTTGGGGTTCCACAGGGTTCGATCTTAGGTCCCCTGCTTTTTTCTCTTTASCTCCTTCCTCTGGGTTCTTTACTCAGGAAGCATGGGATCTTTTTTCATTGCTATGCCGAYGAYAGTCAGATTTGTATGCTGCTGAGGAAAAAAGATGCCTTTTCAATTAGGCCGCTTCTGTTGTGTCTTGAAGACATCAAAGCCTGGATGTCTTCGAATTTTTAAAATTTTAATGAGAAAAAAACAGAAGTGATGGTGTTTGGTCCCAGTGGCTCCTGTAAACCTCCCCCTGTTGATCTGGGTCCCCTGGCGCTGCATGTAAAGCAGACAGTTTGTAACTTGGGTTGTAAAATGGACAGTGATTTTAATTTAAATTCCCAGATTGGAGCAGTAGTTAAGGCCAGTTTTTATCATCTCAGGCAGCTGGCAAAGGTAAAACCGTTTCTTTCRAAACATCTTGAAACAGTAATTCATGCTTTCGTTACGTCACGGCTTGATTACTGTAATGCTCTTACCTTGGAGTCAGCCAGACCTCCCTYAGACGCCTCCAGTTGGTTCAAAACGCTACAGCTCGTCTGCTAACTGGAGTTTGTAAGAGAGATCACATCACTCCCAATCTGGCCTCCCTCCACTGGCTACCTGTTCATTTTAGAATTCATTTTAAGGTTTTTATTTGTTTTTAAGAGTCTGAATGGTCTAGCCCCGCTCTATTTATCTGAGCTGGTTTACCCACACTCTCCTGCTCGGTGCCTCAGGTCAGCTGATCAGCTGCTCGTTGAGGTGCCGAGGTCCAAACGTAAGCCTGAGAGGTGACAGAGCTTTTTGTGTTGCTGCTCCAAAATTGTGGAACAGTCTTGCTCTTTCTGTGAGACAAGCCCGTTCGCTGTCCACTTTTAAAACTTGTTTAAAAACACACTTTTACTCTCTGGCTTTTGGCACAGCCTGAGACTTTTTTATTCTATTTTATTCTATTTTCATTTTATTTTATTGTTTGGTTACTGGTTTTAGTGTTTTTAATCATTGTCTTGTGTTTTCATGTTTTGGTTTTATATATGTACAGCACTTTGTTGCAGCTGTGGTTGTCTTAAAGGGGACCTATTATGCAAAATTCACTTTTTAAAGCTATTTTTTACTCAACTTTGGGTATGTACTTCTAAAAAATAAAACAGTCCTAGGACCAAAAAAATGCACCCAGGGACATATTTACTGTAAGTAAATGTATTTTTAATGTATATTAACGACAAGTTTTATACTTCCGT